TGGCTGGTTGCTGGCGATACTGGGCACAGCCACGCGTGCTAGCGTGCGCTGGCGTGCTGCTGAGGTACCGCTGGACCTGATTGAAGTCGCGAGCGTGCACTAGTGCGATGCTGGCGCGGAACTGGACGCTGCCCCGTGCTATGTGCGCAGGCGCAGGCGCTAGCGACGCTGCTGGTTGCTACCGCGCGCCGCAGCAGTCACTGGAATGGGCATGCGCACGCCGGCGTGCACAGCAACTGGCTGGTGTGCCACTGGGCATCCCCAGTGACTCCTACCGCGTACAGGCAGTACGCGCCGTAGTACGGTGATGCGTAAGTGGGTTTTGACCCCCGACGACAAGAAGGGCCAAGAGCCGAGACGACCCAAAGAGGCTGAAAATAGGGACAAAACGACACATGCATGGCCTACAAGACGGGTACGAGCGCGTATGCGGGATACTCAAGCTCATGGGAAGCGGCGCGTACAAGGCAATAGACAAGGGCGCGCACACGCGCAATGGCATAGGCGTACATGGTGTTTGGAGATTAGGCGAAGTGGCGCGCAGGGGGTGGATGTTGGGAGGTTGATGCGCGCGAGGGACTGCGGCGGATGGACAACGAGTGCGCGTAGGCGCACGAGCGAATGCGAGGGGTGGCCGGGCGAGCAGACCACGCTGGGCGTGCGCAGCGTGCACGAAGATGGCAGGGACGCGCAGACGATGGGCAGCGACGCGGGCGGTGGCCTAGACCGCGTAGGCATAGGAGTATCGGACGACGAGCGCGGGGCGCACGGCGACACGCGCGAGGCACAATGCAGGAACAAGGCGGCATGTGTAATCCTTGTAGGAATAGGCAAGACGCAAATACTAATCCTCGCAGGAATAGGAAAAGCAATTGAGTGTCGGAACGCACGTGGGAGATCAGTGACGGGAGTAATCCTCGAAAGATCAGGAAACATAACCGAGAGCCTATTCCTAGTAGGAATAGGAATGGTGGATATAGGCTCGAGGCATGGTCCTACAAGGAAAAGGAGTGGTGCAGTAGGCGCGCGAGACCTAGTCATCAAAGGACTAGGCGAGCGGGGCGGTGTGCGCGTGCGTGCAAGGCAAGGCGCGCGATGCATAGCAGCACTAGGAGTAGGCGACGTGCAAGTCGGCGCACGCGAGGCGTGTGAGGCGGTGAAGGGTTGGACGCAAGGAGCTTCTAGAATTGTTTGGAGTGCAAGACAAGTAATTAGGAGATCTACTAGATTTAGGAATTTATGGTAGTAGGATATTTACTTGCCTTAGGATTTAATATTTTATTGTTTTATTAGATTCCTATATAGATAAGCATTAGAGGTAATTAGCACCTATAAATACCCCATGTACCTCATCATATTGAATGTCTTGAATTGAGTATTGAATTGGTGAGCCAATTTTGAGGGGAACTTTATGTTCTAACGTGTGATAAACAAGGCCGTCAGTGCGTGTTTACATACAATGTCAGAGAGAAGGCCCTGAGAGCGTCTCAAAGTCACAGTGTCTAGGAGAAGGTCGATAGTGCGTCTGTTAGATACACCTATCGTGGATAATCGAAGGCCCTGAGTGCGCGATTATTCACAACCCGTATAGACAGAAAATCGATCTGTCACCATTGGTGCTTTCGTTGAGAGGTGCTGATCGATTTTTATCTATCCTATCTTTTTTTTTTTCGGTTTGCCTTTTGCTGAGGGGCCGTATTTCTTTTCTTTTTTGGTCGAAATTTTCGAATTTATTTATTCAAATTTTTCAAATTTTTTCGTAAGTCTTAAAAAAAAGTGTCATCTAGTCCTTTGTTTAATTTTTGTTTCGGTTATTACCTTTTGTTGAGGGGCCGACTTTCTCTTTGTTTTATTTTTTATTTTTGTTCGAATTTAGTTCAAATTTTTAGAGTAAAAAAAAATATATATATGTCTTACCCACCATTGGATGAGTTAGATTGGGATCAAGAAGATCTTGAATATTTGGAAGGATTGAAGAGGGAATTAACCCCTTGGGAGCTGGAATATTTGGAGAAGATGTACGAGCAAAATGAGGAGTACGAAAGACAATTGAAGATCATGGAGGAGGTCATTGAAGGAGAGCCCTTGATTACGTTCGATCTACCGGGCTATGTTGAAGACAAGGCGGTCGAGTGTGAGGTCGACCAAGTCAAGTGCGAGGAACCATTGTTCGCCGACGAGATCACGGATGAAGAGACCGACGCCGAGTACACCATGGTAAGTTCGGGTGATTGGTGCAAAACGTGCACATGGCAACGGCGCACACAACACATCGAGGTCGAAGAATCCGAAGAAGCCGAGGTCAAGGAGGTGATTAGGGTCGTGGGCGATGGAGGCTATGATGAGGTGACGCACGCGCAGTACGGTGCGCATGAAGAGTTAGTTTTTCACGATAGTGAGGTGTTGGTACAGGTCAATGAGGACCATGAGTGCGATACGCGCAAGGGTCTTGAGATTGGAGATGATGTGCCCGAGATTTGGATGGTCGAGGATGAGTCCTTGAGGACAAGGACATTCTCAACGGGGGCGGGAATGATGCGTAAGTGGGTTTTGACCCCCGAAGACAAGAAGGGCCAAGAGCCGAGACGACCCAAAGAGGCTGAAAATAGGGACAAAACGACACATGCATGGCCTAAAAGACGGGTACGAGCGCGTATGCGGGGATACTCAAGCACATGGGAAGCGGCGCGTACAAGGCAATAGACAAGGGCGCGCACACGCGCAATGGCGTAGACGTACATGGTGTTTGGAGATTAGGTGAAGTGGCGCGCAGGGGGTGGATGTTGGGAGGTTGATGCGCGCGAGGGACTGCGGCGGATGGACAGCGAGTGCGCGTAGGCGCACGAGCGAATGCGAGGGGTGGCCGGGCGAGCGGACCACGCTGGGCGTGCGCAGCGTGCACGAAGATGGCAGGGACGCGCGTACGATAGGGAGCAACGCGGGCGGTGGCCTAGACCGCGTAGGCATAGGAGTATCGGACGACGAGCGCAGGGCGCACGGCGACACGCGCAAGGCACAATGCAGGAACAAGGCGGCATGCCTAATCCTCGTAAGAATAGGCAAGGCGCAAATACTAATCCTCGCAGGAATAGGAAAAGCAATTGAGTGTCGGAACACACGTGGGAGATCGGTGACGAGAGTAATCCTCGGAAGATCAGGAAACGTAACCGAGAGCCTATTCCTAGTAGGAATATTTGGCAATTTTCTTACAGATAACAAGATAACAAGCTGACTGGAAGGTGATCTAATTGAACTCAAACAGCGGAAGTCGAAGTAGTCGAGGAATCGCTATCATGCCGTTCAGACATGCAAGCTGGATGGAGACGGGAGCAGGTAAAAACAACTCTCCCTCTTTGCAAACCCTTTTCGTACGATCTCCCCTCGCTGTAAGCATCATGGTTTGTCATCAGAATAATTTCTTTTGTGTGTGTTGGTTATGAAATAATCAAATCTGTATGGTGTTCGGTTGATTTATTTAGCTATTTTTATATGTTTTTGTTTCTGATGATCTGCTGCAAAATCGTTCATGTGTTTGTGTTGGATTTGTATGATTCCTTTCTTTCTTTCTTTTTTTTTGAACTGATTGTTTCGAACAAATTATGTTCTAGAGAAGCATTTCCATGTTGTCCAAGCTACGGACTCGCTCTGTGAGTGATATTTTAATCATTCCGCAGTTAATTTGTTTTGTGTCTTTCTTTGTGGTGGTCTAAGTCTGACTGGAGAAAAGTGAAGAAGAATTGGTGTCTTGTGATTTTGTTTCCCTTTTTTATGTATAATTGTTCATTTAGATGTTGACTTGTGTATTTATGTATTTTTCCTTTGGATATGACAACAATTTTGCACTTTCATCCAATTCTGGATGTCCTACTTATCCTATGTAATTGACTACTGACTACTGATTTTGAGATCATTTTTCTTATCTATTATGTTTAAGAGTTATCAGGCAAGACACAAAACTTTAATGTGGGTTGTTTTTTGATATGTGAATTTTAGGAATGGGATCAAACAACGAAAGAACTCGTGGCAGGATGGTGTTTTGGGCACCAATTGCCCTATCTCTCTAAATGTGAACTACACGTACAAGTTCCAAACGAAAGATCAAATTGGGAGCTACAGTTACTTCCCCTCAACTCTAATTCACAGAGCTGCCGGAGGTTTTGGAGCTTTTAATGTTTACGCCTGATAAGTGATTCCCGTTACATATGCTACTCCAGCCAGAGATTATAGGTTTTTTTACGGGGATTGGTATAAGGTCAGCCACAAGGCGAGTGTTCTTTTTACCGTGTAATAAAATTGTGTTTTGTAAACGGCTTGATCACTGAAAGTGGAAATGTTTGTTTATCAAAAAATTTCGCATATGTTAATTTATAGGGATTGCAGCAAATGCTCGATTCAAGAAAGTCGTTGCCTTCACCAGATGGGATCCTTATAAATGACCAGGTCGATCTTCTTTCAATGGCGATCAAGGTATAAAAAGAATGATCAATTTTTTTACCAGTCTGTAAATGTTTTAAAAAAAAAGATTTAATTTTTACAAGGCCTGGATATTTAGTTGAATGAAATGACTTCATTTATTATTTATTTGCAAGCAACTCTTTATTACTAAAGCATCATATTAATATTCTTCAATAGAAACATATAATCTTTGTATTGTCGACTGAGAGTTTTATGTGTGCTCACAAAAAAAAATCTTGCTTTTTGCATTTTTCCAGGGAAGATTGAAGGGTCTCATGTGCTTCAGAATATCTATGATTCTCTTGATTTTCACGTGGGCCAATCCATATCAGTTCTAATCACTTTGGATCAGTCACCGAAGGATTATTACGTAGTTGCCTACACCAGGTTCACCTAAACAGTCCTTACGACCACTTGCATGCTACACTACATGAATTCCCAGGCACCGGTATTTGTGCCTGTCCCAGCTGGCCCGACTATAGAAGTGGATTGGTCCATTGATCAAGCTAGATCTTACATGTATAAACAACAAGATTATCGAGCCCATGAAAAACTCGGGCTTGGCGAAAAACCGACATCTCCAGCTGTATTACACTGAAATTTTGATGTCTTTTCTTCATTTCTATATGTTTTTGTGGTACACAATTTATAATAATTTAATAACTTAAAATTATCCTTTTTTTCATTTTTAGGTGGAACTTGACCTCAAATGTAGCTAGGCCCAACCCTCAAGGTTCCTTCCCTTATGGGAAATAACGCCAACGAGGACAATCATTCTGGCCAACACAACACCTGTCATCAATGGCAAGCAAAGATATGCAGTCAACGGCATTTCCCACATCAATCCCGATACCCGTTTGAAGCTTGCATATTGTTACAACAATTCCGGAGTTTTCAGTGACAACTTCATCCAGAGCTCGCCACCTGGCTGTAGGCCCAGCCTTGGAACTTATGTGTTGGGAGCCTCACTCCATGACTTCATCGAGGTCGTCTTCCAGAACAACGAGTACACGATCCAGTCGTGGTGTCTCGACGGTTATGATTTCTGGGTTGTTGGGTATGTATTTTTTTAAACAAAGAAATTATTTGAATTAAATTGAGGTTCTAAATATAGTTTTTTTTCCTTTTTTTTTTCGTTCGATGGAACAGATTTGGGAATGGCCAGTGGATGCAGGTTAGCAGGCAAACGTACAATCTTGATGATGCTTTGACCAGACACACCACACAACACAGGTAACTACTATACATAACTCCATGTATCGTGTTAATAAATTTGTCTAAAATGACCAAAAAGTTCAAGTTGTAGTTTATTTCAGTTCATTGGCTCAATATTCCTTCTTCTTGCAGGTATATCCAAAATCATGGATTGCCATATATTAGTCTCTTTGGACAATCAGTGCATGTAGAATCTGAGGTCGGCAATGTGGAGAAGGCGCAATATCTCGGGCAACAGTTATATCTGAGGGTTTACAACGCAACACCATCTTTTGCGAATGAGTATGACATACTAACTAATGCACTGTTTTGTGTGTTGGCCGAAAACTTACTTAAAATTTAGTTAACGACACATCGCTTACTAATTAGTAGGAAGTTAGACCAAACAGAGATATCGATCTTTGTTCAGAAAGCTCAAGATAATTTGGTCTGTTGTCCTTGCAGTTCTAAATTAATGAAATCTGACTAGAAATCTACTAGCAATGTCTAGAAAAGCATGCATTTTGCTTTCAGTACCTTGCACTGCTTGAGTTTGTGTGGGTCAAGCTTCTGGAGAAGAACAAGTCTACTACTGTGGAGGAGCTTGCTTGCTGAGGTATACCTTTCTAATACTCACTTTTGTTTATCGGTATTCACTCAATGACAACCAACTTTCATTCGGATAGGTGATTTTTGGTACCACAGAACCGCTTGAGAGTTATTCTGCTCATATGTTACTTACAAATGATGAAGTGTACTTCACTACTCTGGAGACCGAAGGTTCATATTCTGTTTATGGGCCTAGATCAGCTGCTCAGGTCCGCTTCAACTGCTTTCATGGGATTCTGTTGCTTAATGATAAATCCTTGTGGTTTCACTCAAATTTATAGGTTATTTGTTTCTTTCCTTTTTGGATTTTTTACTATTTTTAGGATAATGGTTAATCATGTCCATGTGACACATCATCGTTCACATTAGCTTTTGAACTTTGTTGAAAGCTGAAACATGTTACTTGATTTTCTAGGTTGAAGAGCTCACAAAAAGAAGGCGTGCCAAAGAAGTTGCAAAAAAGAAGTTAGAAGAGTTGGTTAACTTACTGAAATCTGCCAGGGATATATCTCTGCATGCAAAACCCCTAAAATCCACATGGACTTCTGGAGAAAGTACGGAAGACGATTGAGTCTCTTCAATCATATGCAATTGACGATAGTAGGAATGAAGATCAGAGGAAAACTGCTGGGCTGGTAACTTACATAGTTTTTTTATATCCATCCATGTTTAGTGTACTTTACTTGAAAATTGTAGATGAGTGTAGAATGCAAGCATATCAAATTCTTTTCCATGTGAGACTACATAATATCAATTTGTTTTCAGAAACTTAACTAATCAGTTAAAGAAAAGAAAAAAAAAAAGAAAGAGATCCACACATGTTCATATCATGCAATGCTAAATTGTCAACATAATCAGTAATACTCAATTATGGAAGATTAAAAGATGACACCAACTTGACTTCTAAAATTCTGAAGGCTATGGGATTTGCTAAAACCGCATCGGCAGCTGTGAATCTCCTCATAAATATTGTTATTTCCCAGTACACACAAGTCTTGATTTATTGGAGTTAAACATTTGTTCTGGCTCTCCAGAAGAGATAAATGCAGTTGCACAAAAACTTTTGTCTGAGTCGCTTGACATGGATGATGTATGTCATTTTTTGAGCCCTGGATAGATTTAACCATCTGAATGTGGTCCTTGGAACATAAAATTTGGTAATTCATGGTCCTCAAAACTAAAATGAAGTGATGTGGAGCAAATATTGACACTTTTCACATACCAGTTTCAACAGAATGTTACCTTTTGTGTCCTGACAGGTGTGTTGTCTTGCTTGATGGAATAGAAGCCGGCCCACTTGGACAAGCAATCACTGTGATTATCAGCGCTTGGAGACGCTGAAATAGTTCGACGATGATCAATCCATACCCAAGGTGAAATGGCATAACTGAAGCTTTAAAATTTCCAGCCGAAACGGATCTTTTGCGTAATTTTTCTTTCCTTATCCATAGTTACCAAAGTTTAGATCTTTTGCATTGGGCTCTTTTGTTTCTAAAATTATTTTCTTTGAAATGGATTTTATATGATGTTAGAAGATTATTAATCATTTTAGTGAGTTACTATTTTCTCTTGGATACATTTTGTATTTTATTTTTAAAGTGACTTGCCCATATTACGCTTTTATTAAGCGATTTTGCAGTCCCTGTCAGCTAAAGAATAAGCGATTTTGCAGTTCCTGTCAGCTAAAGAATGCGAGGGATCTTGTGTATGTTAATGACCAATTTGTCTCTATAAAATGTTTATAAAATAAAATATAACTGATCATGAGATGGATTATCTTGCTATGTAGTTTAAAATACTTGCGGATGAAACTCACGTGTGAAGGAATTTGACGTATAATACATTGTTATCTCACGGATTTAAACAACCTCGCAAATCATAAATCACTGGTGAAATTCAAAATCTTAATATTTGCACAAAAAAAAAAGACACAATATATATGAACAAATGCAACATATGCTAGAATAAAAGCTGCAACAAATTATGACAAATTTTCACAGTAGTTTTACACCGGGTGTTAGACCGCTGTGCGTGCACGGCGTAAACCTATCTAGTATATATATATATATATATAGAAGTGCACTCAAATGAGAATGAAACACAATGAAGAAATAAGAATGATTCTGGACCACTGGATCCATCCCATCAATTACCTAGATCAAGTCAGACATTGCTAAATATTAGTCAATCATTAATGGTAATATAGTAAATAAGTAGAAATATTTAGTCAAATAATATACCTGGAGGGTAGTGTTTTAATTTATCCATACTACAAACCCTAATATTAATGTCAAATTAAAACACACACAAAACACACACTACACTCACGCACACACACACACACATAGAGGAGAAGAGCCCGCCTCTGGCCCTCGTCGTGACTCCGTCGCCAGGCGCCAACCGCAACGCAGGAGACTCCGACCGTATATTCGCTGCCCGCCGCCGATCGCGACACAGGAAATGTCGGTCGTGCCTAGGCAACTAATCTCGGCGGCGCCGCTGCGTCTTCCATATGAGGCGCCAACGATGGGACCTACAAGGTGGACCAGAGGTGGCCTCGCGACTCCCGTCAGCTCGGTAAGAAGTTCAGTGACGCGTATGTCACCAGAATGAACATCAGAGCCGACTTGGGTGATTAGGAGCTTTTTTGGGTTTATGTGATTTGGGGCTACTCTCAGACCACGCCGCGGCGGCGGGGATGGCGGAGGTGAGAGCAGTCTGACGGAGAATCCGACGGTCGGGTGATGTCGGCGACGAGCTGTGACTGAACAAAGAGTGATTGGATGATTCTTTTGGGATTTGGTCTTGTTTTAGAGAAATATATATTCTTATGGGTCTAAATTGCAATTATGTACCTTTCTAATATATGTATATGTTAATACTTTGGGCCAATTTATAATTTATCTGAAGCTTAATTAATGCACAATAATGATATACAAAATGCACAGTACTGTGTATAGACGTGCACTTTAAAAAAATGTCTTATTATTTACGAAATTACATGATTTTCATCAAATCGGATTTAAATATTCACAAAATTATCAAAATTCCACTGCGCTTATGATTGTTCACTTGTTGGTTCGGTCGATCAGTTTAAGTCACTAAAATGCAATCTGGCTGTTATTAATGTGCAATTCGTTTAACACTATTGTGCATGGTTTCAATCGAACTTTTTGTCCCAAACTTAGTCGAAATCAAAACTGTTTATTCGTTTTAGTCGATCGGTTAACCTAAATAACATAAATAACTAAAATAATTTATTATATATATTATAATTATATACCATTTTAATAATTTTATTTAGTATTTTTTTATTTTAAATTTTGTTGCAAGACATAATATATAAAATAATAAAATCCATAATGTGCATTTTCGTAGATATCATTGTGTATTTAGTCTAACGTTATTGTGCATTTTATGCATTCTATTGAGATGACATTATTTTATGTGCATTAAATTTTTAAAAATTTTAATTATTGCGCATTTATCAATTTATTTGTATACTAAACAATATTTAGTATTTAATTTTGTATTTATTATTTTATAATATTATTTTATTTAAATAAATAATATATATGCTTCTGATAGGTTTTATTATTTATTAATTATTTAATTATAAATTTTTATAAACAAAATCCGAAACTAAAATAAAATAACATACGTTCTCGAATGTTTTTATGTGCATTCTGTCAAACATTAAAGTGAAATGTGATGGTCACTAATGTTAAAAATATTGTACATTCTACAGTATTTTTTATTTGCAATTTAAACTACAACATCCAAGAGATCAAAAGACGGACTTGCTTAGCCGAAGAGAAAGGGAATAGAGAACTGAAATAATTACTTTATTCGATTGGTTAATAGAATACATAAATAATCTAACTAATATATTATTTTATATTATAAAAATTTATTTAGTAATTTCATTTTTTTATTTAATATTTACATTATTTTTTTTTTTGAAAATATATAATATATGTATAAAAAATATATAAAAATAATATTTTTTTATAGTTCGGTCGGATAGGCTATTAAGAAAAAAAAAACAATTGAAATAAAATAATTAATGTGTATTTCATATAATATTAATGTGCATTAATTTGTATTTCGTATAATAAAAAAAGCATTATAAAATACATTAATCCGCATTTCGTATAATATTAATGTGTATTTTGTATCGCTTTAATTTTAAAGTGTGTATCCATACACACTATTGTGCAATTTACTCATCAATATTGTGCACTTATTAATTTTTTTGATAAATTATAGGTTTTAACATTAAATAAATGATATTATATTTAAATTCTTTAAAATTGCAAAAAGGTCCCTATAATATATCTGATTCTCACTAAAAAAGCCCTAGCCCCCAAATAATGTTTCAGCACCTTCAGGCTTCAACCACCACAGCCCCGCCATCCCTCCACCCACCACAGCACCAGCAGCGGTCGTGTCGGACAGTCCTTCGCCGGAGGGGCTCGATGCCGAAGCCGATTTGAATATGTGAAAATTGAACGGCGAATCGAGGTGCCACCGGAGCTTTCCGCACAACCCAGCCACCGTCTGTCGATATTATCCATTTCGCGCAGCGACGGCGGCGATTCGTAGAGAAAAGAATAATGACGCATCGGCTCGCCGGTATCCTTTCTCGCAGCAGCAACCAACGGACATTGGTGACGGTCTGCGAGGCCTGCATCCGTGATGAAATTGGACAGACCGGAGATGCTTGTATGGCAATGGAGCAGCGGCAGGCCTGCGGTCGACGACGATCTTAGTATCGGATATGGTGACGGAGCTCGTCAACGGAAGAGCCGAGCAAGATCCGTATTTGCGAAGTGTGTATGTGTGTGTGTGTGTGTGAAAAAGCGAGAGAGAGAGGGAGAGAGAGAGCGAGAGAGAGAGAGAGAGAGAGAGAGAGAGAGAGAGAGAGAGAGAGAGAGAGAGAGAGAGGAGAGGGAAAAGAGACAACAGATCCGATGTGTGTTAGATGGGGTTGAATTGGTTGTTTTATTGTGGGACCCACTTATGTGGTAGATGGTTTGCGATAAAATGTCCACAATACCCTTAATAAAGATATAATTTTGGCTTTTCTTTCAGCTATTATATTGATTGATCCAATGGTTGAGGTTTATATATATATATATCCCGTCAGTTTAATAATATAAATCATGTTTTAGTTCCGATATAATATCGTTGTCGATTATTATTTTCAGAATTAATTATTTTCAGTCGAGATTACTCGAAATTATTTTTGACGTTCCGTTTACGTTCAGAATAATTTTGGTAATTAAGCATTATGTTTAATTAAATAATTAAACATAATAAAGTGATTAACTAACAATTAATCACTCTTAAGTTATATAAAGCCGTATGAAATGTTCTATTAATTCCCAAAGTCGTAGCAAGTGTGGGATTTAAGTCAATAAACCGTACTCAATTTCTTTATAAGTAAGGAAGTTATTCCTTCTTCTTTTGGCATGAAACGTGGTATTATGTGAGCTAATAAGGGGTGATTAGTCACCCATAAACCATCTAGTTAGTTAGCAAGTGTCAAGCGTAGTAAGAAGCCACGTT